TTTTTTTTACTTTGCTACATACTTAGAATATATCATCAAATTTAATAGACACAATTGAGTTGACAAAGATAGATGTCATCCAAAGAGCTAATTGCAGCATCTGGGAAATGAGTATGAAACAGGACAAACATTCACAGCCATTTACATCTGGCTATTTCCAAAGTGACCTTGTCACAAGTAAAATCAGTGTTTTTAATGTCTGTAATAGCAACAGCCATCTTAAACCACCTATCCTTAGTTCCCACCAAAATTCAGGGGACTTTATTCTTTAGTTTCTGCATTATTGGGATGTTTTCAGAAGGATGTACTTTTTTAAAGTAAATCAACAACAGCAATGATATATATCTTAATAATGATAAGGTTGGCATAATTTGGAAGCCCACAAATACCAGAGGTAACTATCCTATATGATTTTTGAAATGGAAAACAAACTCCTAGTCTTAAGTAGTCACACCTAATTAGTAATTACATAAATATGCAGCAGGCAGAGCTTGGTGGGGAGCTGGAGGTGGGCAGGGCAGGGGGCACAGTGCCTTGTTCTTGATCGGTAGAGGCGCAAACACATTTCATAAAACTAACGACTCTAATTTCTGTGTTTCATATCTTGCCCTTACAGTGCTTCCTCTAAGGCCTTTCCAAGTAGTCTTAACACCTGTCATATAAATGTGTTATCTTTAAAAACTGTGTTGACTTTTTAAGCTTTTAGAAAGATGCATCGTTTGGAAAATGTGCTATGGAACAGCAATTGCTCTCCCTGCTCTTCCTGCAGCCTTGCTTCCCTAAGTACGACCACTAAAAAGTTCAGGGAAAAATCTGGCAGCCTGATATTCCAGCCATTCAAGACACCAGTGGATTCCCAGAGAACAAGCTTGTTTAAAGTCTTTCTAGATGTGAACACATGAGCAAACCCCTGACTTCAGGCAAAACATGATTTAGCCACCAGACGATGCCTCCCTTACCCCAACCCATTCCAAAGGGTCTTGGATCACTTAATACTTCTTTGTAGATCTTCATCACAATGCTTTTGTACATAATATGACTGAGTTACACTCTAGAGATGCTTTTCAGAATAGTTATTATCGTGCACATTCACATGTTGCTCTATATTACTCTTCACGCCTACACAGCCCAGCTCTTTTCAAGAAGATTCTCCCCAAGACTAGTTGTATAGAACAGTACCAAGACCTCTTTGCAGTCACAATGAAGAACATGGCTATTTTACCATTCTCATTATTCTTGATAATATTAAAGCACAGTGATACCAGTAGCAAATACTAATTAACTGTGAACAGAAAGAATGTTGGCATGTACCAAGTCTACTGGCTGTGACAGTCTCTCCCACCCCCACTTATGTATGTCACACACTACCAAGACAACAAAAGTTTAGGAAGATGATCGGCATTGTGATGATTAACATAACCATGACAAAACATTGATTTATACCAAAACATATATTTGGTACCAATCTAACATACATTCTTCATACTCACATCCTGTTTGCTGCTCTCCATCTCTCTGCTATACTAAGAATTGACTCTCCCTCCAATTCCTCTTCAAGATACTGCTTCCTGTAAATTGTAATTGGCTAGTTATTTATTTGCTCTATCTACTTAAGCTCCTTGAGAGAATAAGCTGTGACTCAGCCCACTGGTCAATGGGCACACCAATAAATACTTGTGGAAGGTGAAACCTCAGATAAGGATGTTTTAGATTATCTTAATTCTAGGGGCCTCAACAAAGCTCTTTCCACTTGTTCAGTAGCCACTGGGGAGGATTTCATCAAGTTACAGCAAGAAAAGGGGAAGAGCTGAGTATGGTGAAAGTAGAACCTTTATATTTTGAGTCATTGCTCTGTCACCAGCTAACACAGTTTCCCCATCAGCAATTTGACCAGGGATTAGGTGATCTTGCCATCACAAAATTCTATGGTTCATAAAATTTAAAGTATTTGAAATAAGCCACCTCTTCATAGACTCATCTTAGCCTAAACTGCTTCAGTGAGCTGCAGTGGAGGCAGGAATCATGATTGTGCTTAACCAGTTATCAAATCTGAGTCTGTTTCCTCCTCCACCCGCTCTCCTGCCTCGGATGCATAGTGTTGCGGATGAGCTGAGACGCTGTATGGTGAAACACCAGTATTATTTCCTGAGTTTATCAGGAGGAAGAATTAGGACAGGCCATTCCTTTGACTCTTCCACAGCCTCCTTACCTTTTCTTTGTCATTTCTCTCGTCAACCTTCCCCTCCCCAGCCTCATCTCCCCTTTCTTCTGTCTTCTCATTCTTGGAGTCACCCTCATGTGGGGAAAAACACAAAACCAAAAAACCCCCACAAGCTCTTTTAACTCACTCTTCTTAAAAAGAGGGGTGCTACTTAGCTTTTGTAAAATGAACTCATATGAACTCTTCTTGATAACCAATGGAAATTCTAAATTAAGTCTATGTATTAAACTGGGATAAAATTAATAACAGTTATTTTGCCAAGCACGCTTGGTCTGACTCTCCTCTCACACTTCAGGAATAAAGCACTGAATGAACTCAGCACTGAATGAGTGAAGATCCATAATTTTCTAAAATTTCCATTTTCATTTTGCAAAAACCAACGAAACTACTCCTATGTGTAGTGCACTGAACTTCCTGGTAGACATCTTTCAAAGCCAACACAATTCCCTCTTCTTTAGCCCAGATCCCGCTGCCTGGACCATTCTTCCAGGGCTCCCTCACTTCCTTCCGGCCTCTGGTCCGGGCACTTCTACCCCACCTCCCTCCTCCAGTTAAACATACCGACCCCCTCCTCATTTCTTATTGTATATTTCCTTCGTAAGATGCATCACAGTCTGGCATCCTAGTATAGATCTATGCATTTTCCTGTCCCCCCCCTGCTCCGCCCCCCTCGTTTACTGTGGGGCCCCTGGCACTTACAGCAGGTCTCAGGACACAGTAGGTGCCCAGGAAATATTCTCTCCAACATGCTGAGGCTCCTCTCTCATTTTCCCAGAGCCGCAGGACCCCTCCTCGCTTGGCCCAGCCCACCTCGGAGTCACCACCCACCCCTGCTTGGACCCAGCCCTTCAGCTGCCGGCCACAGAGATCGCGCCGTGCACCCACCACCCGGGCGGGCAACTGCGGTTGGGCCCCGCGGCTCCGTTCAACCGCCCCCGACGCCTCTCGGCCGGTCCCAGGCCGCCGCGCCCGACAGTGGCAGCGACAGCGACGGCGCCACCGTGCTACCGCAGCCGTTAGGACCCCCGCGCTGCCCCCAAATGCCGAGGATTCTGTTTTGAATGATCCGTTGAGGTGGTAGGAAGATGTGCCTCGGTTATCCGGCTCCCTGGGTCAGAGAGACGCAAGCACACCCCCGGGGCCCCGCTCGCAAGTCCCGCCACCGCGGCCCCAGCCCTGCTTCTCACCTTCACACCTGGTCGACCGGCCGGCCGCCGCCGCGTGTCGCGTACGGTGCCCCCGCCGGCGTGCTCCGGCGAGGAGGGCGAGGAGCCCTTCACTGGGAAACAGTGCTGGGCCCCACCACGCTTAACGTTGCCGTTAGGAGGGTGTTAACATTTCTGCTTTAATAGATACCCTTCCACCTCGTCGCCTCCACGCCCCCGAGACGGTGCCCCCGAGACCGTGCCCCCAGCTTTCCCTGCCGGGCGGGCCAGAGTCCGGGCTGGGAAGGCCCAGGACAGTTTCTGGTGGTTCTTTTGGACCCAGTAGCTCGTGGGTGATGAAAGGCCCAACTGTCATTCCCTCCACCCCCGGGAAGGGACTAGAGGGTTTTGGGGTTAGGCGTAACAAGGGCCATTCCCCCGCTGCCTGGTTGGTACTATCCAGGGGAGGGAAACACAAAGGTGTTTTGGGGGGTTCCTCTCCCCTGGACCTATTTTGGGACTATTTGGAGCCTCACCATGATCACACCGCCTTTAGTGAAGAGTTGAGTCAAGTGACAAGGGTCTATACTGCCCTTCTCAAAGAATAGTCCAGGGAGCAAAAAGCACAGCAAAAGGTGTGCGAATGAACTGGTCTTCAGGGAACTCCAAATTAAAACCAAGGCACATGCACTAGCGTGGTGAAAAGGAAAGCTAGGGAATGCCAAGCGTGGGAGGGGATGTGCAACACCCAGAACTCTCAGACGCCATTAATCGGGGGGTATACATGAATAAATTAGTGCCAATCACTTTGGAAAACTATTTAGCAATATTTATGAATGTTGAACATAGGCCTATCCTCTGACCCAATTCCACTGCACGAATATACTTAACAGAAATGCATACACATGTTCACCAAAAAACAGGCACTAGAGTGGTCATCTCTGCAGTATTCACAATAGCTCCAAACTGGAAATAATTCAAATGTCCACTTAGAGAAAGATGGATAAATGCATTGCAGTATATTCACACACTGGAATATTATACAGCAACGAGAGTGAATGTACTATAGTGAAATGTAACTATGCAGATGAATTTCAAAGTTGAGCAAAAGAAACCAGGTGAAAAAGGGAACATACTGAACGATTATATAGAAGTCAGAAACAGGCAAAACTAATCTAGGGTGTCATAAATTTAGATTGTGTTTACTCTTTGGAGGGTTGTGACTGGGAGAAACACCAGGCTTTTTGGGGTATGTTCTGTAAGTGGTCTAAGTGCTGTTAACTTTCTGAAAACAATCATCCAACTAAATATTTTTCCATGTGTTTTATTTTAAAAGGTTTTGAATTAAGAAAAAAAAAGGCCTGAAGTATTCATTTGTTCAAATTCTCCTCTATTCAATTCGACATACATTCATTTTATAATCACTATATATAAGGCATTAGCAAGCACTGTGTATTCCTGGAAAGATGTCTCAGCCTTCCAGGAACTCATAATCTAAGAGGTGGTACAAACATGAAAGTCATTGATTAGGAAAAGTCTTTGATGCTATGCTAATTGCTAGAGAAATTCAAAATAATCACTTTAGAAGAAAGTTGGGGAAAATATGCTGTTAGGCAAGAGTTTCTGAGTTAGGATCTTTGCAATTCTAATAGATCCCTCTGACTGACCCTCTACTGTGGGCTCAATAGCAGGGAGATGAAGATGAAGGTGATTGAAAAACCAAGGCAGAAAAAAAAATTTTTAAAGAAAGGAAGGAAGGAAGGAAGGCACCTATTAAGGTGACCCCAGTTATTTGGTGGGGGTGGGGGAGCAGGGAATTGTGGGAAACAGGCTAGGATTAGGTTGAGGAGCACTTTGAACGCAAAGCTGAATAGTTTGGATTTTACTGACAGTTGTTGCCATAGAATGTTTTTGAACAAAAGGAGAGACACAACCAAAAAAATATTGTGCGTTTCTTTTTAAATCTGGGTCACTGAAGGGGATGAGTAGGTATAATAAGAGGAATCTACAAGTTGAAGTCTATGTAAAAGATTTTTAGGAGTCCAGAAGATAAAAAAAAGTAAATAACAGACTTTTAGAACTGTGAGGCAATAAGAGGCCTACTAATCTAATGCCTTTCTTATTTTTAACTTTTTTCTTATTATATATGCCTTTTAGAAACCTTCCACTTTCATTCTTTCTTAAATGTTAACATTTTTTGTAACACTCATTCTAGTTAGCAGTAAATGAAGACCCAGTGGTAAAGTGACTTGTCCATGGTTATTCAGCAACTCTTAAGTAGGGCTGGACAGTGACCTTACAGTACTTCAGGGGTGTCACAGGCTGGCTACATTGGAACAAAGTGTTCACCGAGAAAGGAAAGGACAAAGTAGTATTTTTCTTGAAGTTACATTTATCCAGTTCTTAAATCCTGAGAGTATAACCTTCCTACTTTTTTGGAGTTAAAAATGTTAATTCTTTTACCAAATTATGGTTCTGGTAGGTGATAGTTGGTGATGTCCTTATGTGACGATATAAAAAGTCTGCTCCCTCTATTATGCTCACTAAGCCAGGTGGAGAAAGACAAAAACCAAATGATTTCACTTACTTGTGGAGTATGAAAACAAAGTAAAACTGAAGGATATCAGCAGCTGACTCAGATTCCTAGAAGGGACTAGCAGTTACCAAAGGGGAGGGGTTGGGGAAGGTTGCTGGGAGAGAAGAGGATTAAGGGGCACAATAATTAGCAATCACAATATAGGTTGGTCACAGGGATGGCAGAACAGCACGGAGAATAGAGTTAATGATTCTGTAATATCTTACTACGTTGATGGGAAGTGAACACACTGGAGGGGGTGAGGACTTGGTAATATGGGTGAATGCCGAACCACTGTATTGTGTATTTGAAACCTTCATAAGATTACTTTGATACTTTATTTAAAAAAAAGTCTGCTCCCTCTTATGACCCTTTTAGTTTATATAAAAGGAAAAAGCCTGAAACAGACTTTGCTTCATTCTTGTGCTACTTCAGCTCAGAATCCTTTCATTCTACTTATTACCAAGGAAATTTTTAAATGCAGACACATATGTACCTGAGATGGATGTGGGTGACCCACCTTTTTTCTACTTTTTTGATGCCTTCCTATACTGCAGCAGCTAGAAAACTTTAAGAACTCTTTATTTCCCAGGCTTTCTGGCAGCTAGGATTCTAGGTGTAAATTTAGATCTATTATTAATTTGCACACCCAAGAGACTTAAAAAGTAGAATTGAGGCAAGGGTCATCTGCTGTTTTGGCTGCTGGCCAGTGTGGTCATGGGGCATTGGGGTTTCTGCAGCCATGTCCCAGCATCCATTCTCTAGCTTCGTGGCCCCTGAAGGCTGCTGTGGCAATGTCAGCAACAGGAGCTTCTGGATTCCTGGATGGCAACCAGGGCATGTGAACTCAACAATTTCAGTGATACAGTCTTTTTTAATTTTTTATTAAGGTATTATTGATACACACTCTTGCAGTCACTGTCCATCAGTGTAGTAAGATGCCACAGATCCACTGTGTGCCTTCTCTGTGCTACACTGTTTTCCCCATGACCCCCCACACCATGTATACTAAACATAATACCCCTCAATCCCTTTCGCCCTTCCTATCCACCCACCTTTGGTAACCACTAGTCCCTTCTTGGAATCTCTGAGTCTGCTGCTGTTTTGTTCCTTCAGTTTTTTCTTTGTTCTTATACTCCACAGAGGAGTGAAATCATTTGGTGCTTATCTCTCTCTGCCTGGCTTATTTCACTGATCATAATATCTTCCAGCTCCATCCATGTTGTTGCAAATGGTAGGATTTGTTTCTTTCTTATGGCTGAATAGTGTTGCATTGTGTATATGTACCACCTCCTCTTTACCCATTCATCTACTGATGGACACTTAGGTTGCTTCCATATCTTGGCTATTGTAAATAGTGCTGCAATAAACATAGGGGTGCATATGTCTTTTTGAATCTGAGAAGTTGTATTCTTTGGGTAAATTCCAAGGCGTGGGATTCCCAGGTCAAATGGTATTTCTATTTGTAGTTTTTTGAGGAGCCTCCATACTGCTTTCCACAATGGTTGAACTAGCTTACATTCCCACCAGCAGTGTAGGAGGGTTCCCCTTTCTCCGCATCCTCGCCAGCATTTGTTGTTTAGTCTTTCAGTTCAGTGATACAGTCTTGATTCTTCCCCTTTCTGGAGCTTCTATGGTGAGTGAGTTTAATAGTTCATTCTTGGGACAATTTTGTAAGCACCTGTGTCCCTGTATTCAGGTCTTTTCTGCTTAAAATAGTTTCTGTTACTGCAATCAACCCAGTCCGATAGAATACATGACTGAGCAACAGTCAGTGTCCCTTCTGTGCCTCTACCAGTTCCCCCATATCCCGGTCTTCTCTTTTCTTCTCTTTCCGTAAATTCCAAACGTGGTATAACCCGGTACTTTCATCTTGGTCTTCTGAGGCCTTGTAGCTGTTCCTTGGGCCTCCAGAGAGGAAAGAAACTCCAGATATCTGTGTCAGATAACTGTGTTTCACAGTGGGGGATTTGGAAGGAGGGGGCAGTTAGGCCCTCGGAGGGTGAAGATTTTCCTTAGGCTCAAGATTCTATCGGACAGAGCTTCTCATGTTCTCACCAATCAAGATGCCACTGGTTTCTCTTGACATGCTGGAGGGCATGGATCTGTGATTAGGAACAATAAGTGTTTTCTTCCTTAGTTCTGGGTTCCAGGTCCCCTCAGAGACAATTTCTGCTTTGGCTTATTGGGCATCATTGAAAGGAAAGGAACAGTGCTGTAAGTGTATGAATTAGTAACCCCAAAATAATTTTGTATGTTTCTACACAAGTCATAAAACATTACTAGGAAAAAAAAAGCACTTTTACCTCATAACTACAATTCTCAGAATTTTCTTAACACCACCCCACCCCACATAAGCAATGTATACATTATGCCAGAATTATTTATAATCTAGGAATAATTTTCCCATGGCACTTTTTAATTGCAAATATGGCCGCCTCCTGTTCCTTCTTCTTTCTAAACTATTGCCATAATGATACTGAAGATGCAATATACTGTCTTGTAAACTATCTGGCCTAGAAGATCATAAAAAGATGGGATCATTTTGGATAAATAGAAGGTACCTATTGCTTAATCTTGACCCATAGCCCTTAGAGAGTCCTGTGGTGAGGGTAGTTACAATACTAATGGGAAGGTTTCTCACTCTTCCCTCAATTTCGGAGCATGTTTTAGACCATATTGAAGCATTGCTGAAATCTAGCTATAAGAAAAAAAATAGGCTAGAAAAAAAAGTTTACATTCATGCTGAGAAACAAGTGATACTGTACTTTGCATTATAGATGGGACCTCTCAACACTCTCAAACAGTAAATTCTTCCTACCCTTTAATCTCAGATTGTTAGGTTGAGTATCTTCCTATTTCCCATTTACTGGATGAAGAGGACACCTTTTTACTAATCTATCTTTTCAGTTTTATAAGGACAGTAAGTTGAGGGGAAATCTGCTTTCACAATAAAGGCCTCGAGGTGTTAGGGAGAAATGGTAGCATTTTCACAAGCAGGCAGTTTCCCAGGGAGGTCTGGGAAGCAGTACATCTCAACTTACGGCTGGGTTAACCCAGTGTGAAATATTTTTCCAGAATCATACAAGTGGCACAGATACCTTTAAAAACATATTCTAAAGGGCTGGCATTTTTACAGTTTGTAAGTCTCATTCTGGTTTGGTTTAGATCACATACTAATGTTATCTGACACTGCCAGACACTGCAGATACAAAGATGAACAAAACACACTCCTTACCCAGTTTCTGTACGTCATTAACTTGATAAGTCTTCACAGTTCTCTTCACCTCCACCCACCCTCTCCAAATATGAATGGTTTCTTTAGGAGCTCATTTCGATACTGTGATCCAAGTGAGACAGGGACCGTGGGTGTAGTCAGAGTAGGGTGAGGGCCTCTGGAAAAAGACCCCTACCAAAACTCCATATTAAACAATTAAACAAAGACAGAGCCGCATTAATTCTCTTAAGTAAAATATCAAGCTAAGAATATAAGCATTCTTCAGTGAAGATTAGTTAAAACTAAAAAGCCAGGAATAACCTGGCCTGGAATGTTTGAACATCCCCCAGATAAGAAAATACCTCAGCACAGCCCATGTCGTTTGTGTCAATTAAATGAGGCTATTGTAAAATTTCCTTTAGCCGCTAAAAGGCCAAATTTATCTTTAACTTTACCCAGATGCTGCTTTTCCTCCTCCAGCCCCTAATCAAGTCAGTAACTCAGCTCACCTTGTAGGCAAAACAAGCAGCCTTGACTGATGTGCTCCCAAACCGAGAAACTGCTACTCTGAGAAAGGATCAAAACAATAAATTTCTTATGTTAACTCCACAAAATAGTCTAGAAAACTGATAAGAAACTTAGTGTCTCTTTAAAAATAAACACTTAGAGACCATCTGGTGGATCCACATCCCTAACTTGGTCTCTCAACTGCCTATAAACCCCCTAGACAACGCACCACCACGTAAATCTAGGACCAAAGGCTCATAAGAATCGAACTACCACGTGTAATCCGGAGAGCCAGGACACACTGACTTCGCTGTAAACAGGAAATTATCGATCCCATGCAGGAAATGACCTTGTTTGAGGGCAACGAAGGTGCCGCGGATTTCCCTCTTTTTCCTTCAATTCCCTTCTAAACTCATTTCCGGGTCTCAGTTAATCTGGTCCTTCCTTACAATAACAGAGTCCGGCTGGGCCCTCCCAGTTCCACCCTAGACTTCGTCCCTCAGAAAAGGGCCAATAGGCCCTTTCCTTTAGTGGACATTTTTACGCCTCGTTTTACATCACGGTAAATCTCAACCAATCGTAGTTGGGACAGGAGGCACCAAAATAATCTTCACTTCCTCCCCAAAGAACCACCCCTCGCTTGCGTAATCCTGATAGATTACTTACGTAGCCAATCAAAAAGCAACCTGGGGCCCAGCCTACCTTAAACCCAATCAATTAAAATGAAGACAGGGAAGTGGGGCGGAGAATGGAAAACTTGCCCCTTTTGGAAATGGTTTGAAGAGGAACGTCTGGATCTCTGGAACTTACAATTTTCGACTAGCGATTACTGTACACTGTCCGTCGCAAAGGTCCCAGTTTCGTCCCCTCCGACCCCACCCCAAACGGAACCCCACCCCTCACTCCCCGTTCCGCCCGTTTCAGTAGCAAACATGCCCATCCTGAAACCTCCGGAAAAGGACAAAACCCAAGGGCCCGGTAGCGTGGTTTACACGCTCCTCCCGTGCGGGTTGAGTAGGGGAAGAGGCGACCCGGCAGCCGCTGGCGCCAGTCTTTCCATTCAGCGGGTCTCTCCTCCCAGCCCCACGTTCCCGGGTCGGAGCTGACACGGGAGTGGGAGGAGCCGAGAGCCCCCTCCGCGCGGGGGAGGCTAGCGCTTGTTAAGGTGGAACAGAAGCGTTGGAGCCTGGGCCTCAGAACCATCGGGGATGGGACGTCCTCTCCGCTTTCCATCCGCGCTCCCTTAGTTTGTCATCTCTGGTTCCCTAGCCTTCGTTCTAGTGTTAATTTATTTGATTTACTTTGATTCTTTGGGAGAATTAACAGGTTAGGTAGATATAAAGTTAGTGTAGGAATCATAAAATAACATTTTATGCTTATTTTTAACAGCCATGTAAAGGAACTATAACCACGGAGAGACCTTTTCCTTTATGATTTAATCTCCTCTGCTGTGTTCTAGCCTTTTTTGAGATTACACTTTGGCAGCTAGAGTTTCTTGTCTGATAAATATTTCTCAATGGATCATTTGTATGTTCGGTGATTCTCTCTCTCCCCACTAGATCTGACTACAGCCATTAAAGGAAGCGAGAAACCAGTACTTAGTGGCTGCACATTGTCCTCTACAGCGGGTCCCCCTTGGAAGCTGCAAGAGTGGAGGTGGTATATTGCTTGACCTTGCAGTCCTGGCTCTGGTTTAGTCTTCTCATTTGTAAAATAGGTATAATAATACTTACCTCCCAGGTTTAGTGTGAATACTAAAGACCTGGTGTAAATGAAAACACTTTATCTGAAAGGTGTAAACAAACATTGGATAATATTGTAAATACAAAGCATATAATAAAAGTAAGCACTTACATAGTCCCTACTATGTTTTAGCGCTTCTTAAACAGTATTTGAAAAAACACTTACTCTGTAAAATTTTAAACACAAAAGTAGAACACTATTTTTAAAATTTACCCATGTTGTAATAAGCACCAGTGGGCCAATCTTTTATTATCAATACCTGGCTCCCCATCACTTGATTATTTTGAAGCAAATTTCAGTCATTTCATGACTAAATACTCCAGCATGCATCTTTTATTAAAGTTCCCTGAAATAGTAACTTCATTAATACCTCTAACATATAACGATAATTTCTTGATATCAACAAAAGTCATTATTGAAATTCCACCAATTGCTTCATAATGTTTTTTCCAGTTACTTTGTTCAAGTCAGGATACACCAAAATATCCAAATATTGTATTTGATGCCTATGTCCCTCTGTATCTCCCACATTTGGTTGGGATTTTTTTTTTTGGTTGGGATGTTTTTAAAGCCTCTTTCAATCTTCAGTTTCTTCTTCCCTCCTGCACTTACTTATATAGATTACATGCATAAAGTCAACAGTTTTTCCACAACACTAGGAAGGAAGTACTTTTATCATTCCCCACTTCACTGATGAGGAAACTAAGAGAGAAGTTAAGTGATTTACATTTTCACAATCATTGAATGAGGGCCCAAGCTGGGATTTGAATACATGAATCTTATCCACTATGACATAGTTTCATATAGCACACAGGTCTTTGATAGATGTTTCTAAAATGTGTATTGTAGCAAATTAGTCACCAATATTATGAAGAAGCATTTTGCTCAAGGTAAACCTATCATTCATGAACTATATTAATTCTATAATAGAAAAGGGTGGGTCTTTACATTTTGATTCCTTGCCTGTTTCAATGACTATAGTTTTATACTGCTTTGTGGTACCCTCCTTAATAGAAAGTGTACAGGAATGAGTGCGAGTGCTTCCCCCTGTCTTAGGGCAAAAATAAAACAAAAGCCAGTTATCAGTTATTTTTTTAATTTAAAAAATTACATAAGCAAAAATCATACAAACACTTATTTTAGATACAGTAGAAAATGAGGCAAACTAAAATAATCTCTAAGCTCACATCTTTGGTGTACGTCTATGTGTGTGTATGTATATACACACTAATACATACATTCACATAACTATATATTTTTAAAAGCAACCGTATGATGGTATTATACAAACTTTTTAAACATGATTTTCTCCCTGGAATATATTTAGATATAGGAAAAAACTGCTTCTTCAAAATAATACATGCCTACTGCAAAACATCTAAGTGGTAAAGAAGATATAAAAAGGAAATCAACTCTTCACTAATTCTATTTTCCACAGTTAAAAGCACTTACTCTTTTAAAAATCTAAATAGTATGCTATTATTAGATATACCATTATTTACTAGCTACTCTATTATGGGTACTTAAGCTGTTTCTAATTGTCTATAGTTGCAAATAATGCTGCAGCATATGTCTTGTATATATCAAATAATTTATTGAGCTTTTAAGTTTTCTAAATTTCCAGGAAAAGGCAGTCTAGTTCTTCCCTAGGTTTCTCATTTTTAGTACTTCTACCTCTTTAGCCCTGCCCCCCAAATTCCATATATATAGAAAACGTCAAAAAAAGATTGAAAAGAAATATAATAAAATTTCTAATACATAGCAAGAAACATTTGGTGCCAAATTATCCGTGTGGGGGAAAATGAGTTAATGTTTCCAAGACGGGAAAATACAGCTTTAAACCTGGATATTGGAAGGATGCGGAGAGAGAAGAGATTCAATTGTGCTTCACTTCCTGTAAGTTTAAGGATGACTTTTAATTCTGACAGCTCAGGATAAAGGAATAGAAGTAAAGAGCCAGGTCTCTCCAGTCATTCAAATTTGTTAAAGTCCTGACTTTGCTACTTACTAATCAAGTGAATCTAGACATAATCAATATCTCTAAGTCATCGTTTACTCATCCATAAAATAGATATAATATAGTGTCCATGGATGGCACTGCTATAAGAAATAACTGTGAAAACATATGCAGAGTGCTTAGCTCATTGCCTGGCACACTGTAAATATAATGTCATCATAGAAGTAAAATACAGTATCATATATTTAGCCAAAAGCCAAAAGACTTTATTATCTAAATGTGAAATGTAGTCATCAAGGTGTATCTTTAGTATGCAGTCTTTTTTTGAGCAATTCAAATATTTCACGGATAATATTTTTGTTTTCATGTAATTTTATGTGATAGAAAGTAGAATACTTTGAGAAAAGTTTACTAGGCCAGGGGTTCAAATATGTAGAATCTGCAGAGAAAGAATGTAATTCCAGGAGGAAAAGTAGCAGTGGGCTCCCTGATGGCATTTTCTGTGGGTGGGATTATTCCATAAGCGGCAGAGAATTTTGCATCCTTTGTATCCTGCACAGTTAAAAAAGCATTTTCACACAAATGCTCATTTGAAACTTGCATCAGTCTTATTGGGTAGGCAGAGCGAGTAAGACGGTTCCTTCTTCGCTGACCCAAATACCACAGAACAAGTTTATACGACTAGACTTTCTGGTATTTAGTCCGGAGTTTTCTCCGTTATACGCTCATTTATCCCTTTAACATTCAGTCATTCAACAAGCATTTACGATTGTAGCAGGGTAACATTAACGTCGGCCCAACCCCATAACCCTTTATAAACATCTCGGAGGAAGACAGGCCCATCGAAGAAGTTCCTGAGGACGCCGCAGATGCCCGTCTGTACGGCGAATCTAACAATGAACATTTTCAGGGTACCAGGATGAGTGATACTGGAGTTGACAGTCAGGGCGCGGGCCGGGGAATCTCCCGGTAGAGGGCAGAGGGTCGTCGTCTGCGGGGGATGGCAGGCCGCGGGCAGCGAGGCGGCCGGAGGCGGTCGGCGGTGAACGGAGGCCGGGCGCGGGCCCCTGGCGCTGGAGCGCGGCGGCGTGTCCCGGCACCGGGGCAGCCGCGCGGCCCTCCCGGCGCAGCGCTCGCCGGCGGCGCGGCCGCGCCCGGAGCCCGGCTCCTCCTTAACCCGCGCGGGGAGGCGGTGGCGGCGGCGGCCGGCGGGCGGGGGCGGGGGAGGGGCGCCGAGCGCGGCGGGGAGGAGCCGGGGCCTGCAGCGGAGCCGAGCCGAGCCCGCGCCCGCGCCCGCGCCCGCGCCGAGCCCCGCCACCGGCCGTGCGCCCTCTGGCTCCCCGGGAGCCCGGACCGGCCGGAGCCCGAGAGGTGGCAGCGCGGGGACCCTCACGCGCCGGAGGGAGCGGCCCGGACGGGACGGGACTCGAGGCGGCGCCGCGTTCACAGCAGCCAGTGGCTGGAGTCGGCGCCGCGGCCTCCCGGCCCCTGCTGCCCAGGCCAGCTCCCGAGAGCCGGGAGTCCGGGAACCCCACCCTCTGGGGCGCCCGGGGAGCGGAGGCGGGGGCGGGGACGCGAGCAGCCTCGCTCCCAGCTGGGGGGGAAGATCCTTACCACTCGGCTGTCGGAGACGAGCCTCTCCTTGCTAGAGGCGAGGAAAACCCCCATCCTGGCCTGGGGATAGACCTCCAGAAGTAGCCGGGCGATCCTCGCTGACGGAGGCAGGCGCAGAGAGCGCCCCGGCGCGCCTCCACCCCTCCAGGCGCGCTCGCAGCAGTTCAGGACTTTTGAGGCAGAGAAAGGAGCTATGCCCGTGTGGTAGGCAGCCTCCATCCTATCCAGGACTCACAGGGCAGAGGCGTCCTCACGTTCCGAAGCAGAGGACACTCCGGGGAAGGAAGAGCGATCGGCTGCCAGCCTCTCAGGAGAGGGGAAGAACTGCCCCCTCAACTTCCTCGTGCCTAGACGGTGGAACAGGGCAGAGCCCCTGCGCGCCCATCTCCGGCAGCCAGACAGAGCCCTCCACTCCCGAAAGAGCCAGTTTGGGGGGGAGGGGGACTCCCCCAAGGGGGAGGAGACAACTCCTGGCTGGGAGAGGCTCCTCCCCTCCTCTCCAGGGCAGCAGGCAGGGTGTGGGGGGTGTGCCAGCTTCCCCAGGTAGGCCCTCCTTCTCCTCCCCCACCTTCCCCCCCTCCGCCTCCCTGCGCTCCTCATCTTCAGGGCACCGAGTTCTCCTCCCCAGCTTGGGAGGCTCAGCCCAGGACTGGAAGAGCCACCGAGGATGACACTGTTCCTTCGCCTTTGAAGAGGGGCGTCCCTCCACCCCCAAACTTCAGTACCAGGTGGCTCCCTCCCTTTGCTGGGGGCACCTTGGCGACAGGTCAGTGCTTTGCTTCTTTGTCATCTTTAGGCACTAGCCGGGGTAGGGGGCTGAGATGGTGGCCCTTGGGTTTCCTTACTGGAGAAGGTAGATACAGCTTCTGAAATGTCTCAGCCAGCTGGGAAATGTGTTCTGAGGAAGCTCAGGGATTCGAACCCACATCTTGCTGCGGAGGCTTTGAGAAACGGGTTTCTGGGTTTCTTAGTGATTGGGGGACTAAATGGATGGGATTCATTTGAGGTCCCTGTGGAAGTATATGTTTTCATGCTGAAAGCAAAGGGATATCAGAAAACACCTGCATTTTTAGAACTCCATCCATACCCCAAATAATGATGGACACATCCCAACCAGACTCCCCATACCACCCCTTATCCTTGGGCCTCTTCATCCAAAGAGCAGGCCTTCACCAAAGTCATGGTGGCATCTTGCGGCCTGGTCTTGTCTAGGGCTTCCATCGGTGTTACATTTTCATATCAGTAACCCTAGGTCAGCTTAATGTCCTCAGAAGTGGTCTCTGCCACCCACTGTGATTACTGCTCCCTTGACAAGAAAAGCAGTCTGTCCCCACTCACCCTTCCTCAGACACCAAGAGGCTTCTTGTGATATTCACATTCCTGACTGGAAGCAGGCTTCTATCAATAAAATCCAAAGGGACAATGGGAACCCCAGCTGTCCCAAAGCAAGAAGAGGAGGTATAGGGGAATGCCAACTCCTGGACTAACATTCTTCCCTAATGATAGCTCTGTACCACTGCTTCAGTGCCCTTTATGACTCCTGTCCTGTCCTGACAGTTCCTTAGGAAAAAGCAGATCCTGCATAGGTAAAAAGGAATATTGCTGCATAACCTCCTTCCAGTCTTCCATCTAAAGAAGTTGGCCATCATAGAGATTTGACCTCTGAGGAGTTTTTTTTTTTCTGAAAAGCACCTAATAGCCTCATCCTCTCCCTTCCTGCTTCTTGTTCAGTTCTGGGACTCAAACCTTGTATTTAAGTTTTCTTTCATAAGAGAGTCGAAATCATCAAAACCCACAATCTTCAGAAAAGGCAAGGAAAAGGTGCCAGGAAATCCTAGTTGAGCCCAGGCTGTGTTTTTAGTAGTGCGCTGCCTTTCAACCTGGGAGCACTAGCTGGGGGCCTACTTTCCTGCCTTGTCGTTGGGAAATACCTTATCTTCTGTAAGGGGTATTGCACCCCACACCAAGGCCAAGTGGGAAGCTCATCTTATTTGGGTTTTTGTTTCCTCCTTTCTCTGTCTGGGCCATGGGTGGGCTGCCTAGGTCCTTAAGTATGTCCACTGAGTCCTGGAAACTACCTGCTCAAAGTGGTATCTGAGACAGGGCTATAATCCTGGTTGGTATGGCAGTGTTATAGAATGAGGCACATCTGTTTCTTAATTCAGGTTGGTGTAGCTCTATCTCTGTGTTCCACATGTGTGGAGACAGGTACATGTGTGCTTTTTAGATGGAGCCTCCAATGATCTAGAATTGCATGTTTCCGGTAGGCCTTTGAAAGCAGGTGCCTCTGTGCAAGGACCTGGAGAGGATGCCCTATAGGAGGAAGGGCTTGGCCTGCCCTGGCCAGTGGGAGCCCTCAAGCATGGCTGCAGGGGAGTCCTCCCATGTGGCAGGGCAGCCATTCTCAGGCTGGGAGCACTTCTCCTATGACTAATAAGAGAGCTTCATTTCTGATATCTCTGGTCTCAAAAGCATGAGGATCCTTGGCTCTTAATTTTAGAACTCCCTCCCCCATTTTTTGCAAAGAGACGGCTGTGGTGTAACAGCAGCCTATTGCTTACAAAGTGCTTTCCCAGATGCTGGAATGCAACTTGTGGAATGGCTCCAAGTGTACTATATCGCAGCACCCCAAAGTGTATCACCACCACAGTTTAACTGGCCCTGCTTGGACTGAGTTTCCCTGATTCTCCTTGTCTCTGTGGAGTGAGTCAGAAGTAGATGGCTGTTAAGTTGAATTAACTGTGATGTAGAGAGTCTGTTTTCCAGATCGTGTTGTATGACTATACCTAGTCCTCCCTGAAAAATAAGAGATGATATTCCCCCATTCCTTCATTCTTGGAGTTCACGTGGTCCTGGCATTGGTCAGTACGGTGGTGACACTGTCCCCAAAGGACAAGTCTGAGAATCTGACATCCTGAAAACAATTGCAAGCTCAGTGCGGGCTTTGCGGTGTAAACCATTGCTGGCTGTTGCTTCCAGTCTTACCTCTGTGGTCTGTTCAGTTTTCTTATTTTTAATTTCTAGTATTCTCTTTTTTCCCCCTTCAAAAATAATAAGAGCTACACTTTCATAACACTGACTTGGTGTTTTAAAAAATACTAACGCAAGGTAATCCTCACAAAAACTCTATATAGGCACAGTTATCTTGTCTATTCTAGATGAAGAGACTACAGCATCAAGAGGTTAATACACTTGCCTGAGGTTGCACAGCCAGGAAGTAGTGGAGCCAGGATTGACACCCTGACTGGTAACTGGTAATGTGGTAAATGTAACCACTGCTCTATTGGTTTTGGCATTATTCTACAGAGCAGGAAGTTATCACTCCTTAATACCTAACCTTGGCACTGTGCAGAGAACAATTACTGGCCTTTCAGATAAAATGGGAAGAAAACCATGCATGTTATTTTGAATCTTCCACATCTCCTCTGGGGTCAGTCTTCCACTCCAAGAGAATGTCTCTCTGTTTTTCTCTGCCTTTCTCCCAGGACTGTAGTCTTCATTAGACGTCCTGTGGATGTGATGGAGCCTGCCCTTTGGCTGCCTTTCCCAGTTTCTCTGGGTATTTCCTTTCAGTCTTCCAGCATGCAGAGAAGAATGTGGGCTGACTCAGGTTCTGCCCAAGCCCAGTGGCACGAGGCCCACCTGGAGAGAGAGGTCTAGGCAACTAGGTTGGTTGGACTGAGAAATGGAAGTACCTCTTATTTGCCTTTCTAAGAATAGCCCTGGCCATGAGCCTTGTGCCATTATTTTGGGGAGCATGGAATGTGTGACAGCCACAAGCTCATTAAGCTTCATTCACTTCCCTCCAGGGATGAAGCTTTGGCAGTGTTTATGACTTCATCCCTTTTATGGAAGGGGAAACTGAGGCAACCAGCCTTCAGGGGGCAAAAGGTGGTTAGGGACATTTAGTGAGTCAGTGTCAAGGTTGGGATTAGAACCGAGGAACCTCAGTCTCTGGGGTTGTCCATGCTGGGCTGCCCTTCAAGAATGGGGAAGTGACAGGGTGAGGAAGTGGGATGGGTTAGGGAAGAGGGTGCTGAAAGATCAGAAGGATCCTTTGCTGCAAGCTTCTTGCGGCTGGTAAGATTGGAATATATTTTGAGTGCTGGGGCGGCATCTGGAGGGCTGGCTGGGAGGGTGCTGGAGAAAGGTTAAATTTAACCTCAGTGTCCTAACCTGGTGCTGGGGTAAGAATAGGGAAGGGCATAGAACAACTAGCAAAAGGCCCGAGTGCTTCCCTTTCTGGAATTCACAGTGATTGGCATGTGCCAGATGGGTTCTGTAAACTACTTTAAATCTACTCTTATGTCCCTGTCCAATGTTGGGACAGTTTCAAATGAAATGTCCACTGAAGGTTTCTGCTCATTCTTAAGATGAGATTTTTCTAGGGATTTGTAGCAGGAGATAATAGGGAATAGGGCAAAACTTCTTTACAGACCACCCCTTCTGTGGAGGACCCAGGAGAACCCTGGTCACTGAGAACCTGCTCATTGCCATGTTACTGTTCAGCTGGGATAACCCAGCTACAGGACTGGATTATTGCCTAAAGCTCCCCACTTTACCCCAGAGGCTGTGGTGTTTTGACTTATTAAAGTGCTAGGAATTCTGAGACTTGCTGGAGTGATTAAATGTCCCAATTAGTTTTAAAGCTGCCATGTGTTTTGGGCAAGATGGTGGGGATGGGATGAAAAGGAGAGTGGTGGGAAGAGGATAAAGGGGAAGCCCCTTCATGAAGCTATTTATAAACATAGCCTTTTTTGTTTTGTTTGTTTTGTTTCTCCTTGTCAAGCAATTCTTGGGTTGCAATTGGGTTTCATGCTGCCCCAGCCTCTGAGACATTAGGTGTTTCCTGCAGCCTTGTGGAGCGGGTGTGCTGCTCGTGAGGAGCCCAGAGCCGGATACCTGTGTGTACATGCACGGGTTGCATGGGTGGGGACCTTGAGGGAGCAGGAGGTGAATGAGAATGTTGACCCTAAAGAGGAGGGGGTGCGTCTCAAGGGGAGAAGAGTCTCTGACTGGAGGAGTGACCTGAGAGCCTGAAAGGGGTACTGGAGTCAGCAGAGGGATAGGTAGTCACACGTGGGATCAGCTTTTGACTGCAAAGCTTGTGGATTTGTATGTATTTGCCTGTGCACATTATTTGGGTGTGGATTTAGAGATTACATACGTAATGTGTTTCTGCTCAGGATTCAGAACTCTGAGGCATGCCAGTCCTGGCTGCTCAAGAGAAATGCCTGGTGGGACTGTCAGCAGGGGTAGGAGGAAGAAACGCTAGCTGGAATCTGGTGGCTGTGCAGGCACAAACCTGTTAGACAGTGAATGCTTAGGGACTTGCTGGCATCAGCTCTAGGGGAGTGCCAAATGGCTACCAAGTGGTTCCTGCCAGTCTTTCTAGTCCCTGCAATACAGCTATCACCCATTATTCTTCACCTTCCCCTCCAAGAAGTCTCTGCAGCTGTACCTCTCCATCAAGAGCACCCAGGCTGCGTGGGTGGCAGTAAGGCGTGGGCGGTTTGGCAGTGCCAGGAGTCTGCACGGAGGTGCAGTGAGCGTGAGTGCTTGGCTGGGAAGGAAGGAGAGCGGAGGAGGGCAGGAGAAGGGGAGCCAGCTCTTAGCCCCAGAGTGGCTATTTTTAGCCGGGCTATCTGATTGTTACCCGTGCTCACACAACTGAGTGTCTCCCCAGCTCCGGCTCTGTGAAGCCCTGCGTGCTGAGAGGGGGGTGGGCCTTGCTGATGACTTCTTCCTGGTGTTGGTGTCTGTGGGCGGGAGCTCGCAAGGGGTAACTTTAAAGGTGTGAGGGCAGCTGTACTCTGGATCTGTTACCCCTGTGTGTGACTTTGTGCCCTGTTGGTAATGTATGCCGTTTATCTAACTGTGATCTCTGTGTATGTGGGCCACTGTTTATGTCTGTCTTGCATCTGCCCTTCGGTGGTTGTCATAGGTGATTTATGCTTGGGATAGATCTGCTATGCCTCCTCATGTGCACATGTGTGTGAGATAAAGAGGGTGAGCACTCAAATATATCCAACATGAAATATCTTCAGAAGTGTTGGTGTGTGCTTCATTGCTGAGTATTTGTGTTGACTCAGACTGTTTCTCGTTACATGTTCACTCATGCTATCCACCTGTGGGTGTTGTGTGTGAATAGAACAGGCATCACATAATTGGAGACTAGACTTTGGCTGATTTTACCTGCTCTCTACATGTTTAAAAAAATTATTTCTACAGTTTTAAAATATGTTGTAGGGCTTGAAGTAAGGAGAATCGAGGAATAGCTCTGTTTGGTAGATGGTTTGGGCTCTCTTTCAGTCCTGCATGGAGGCAGAGGCCTCTTGGCCATGTTCTACATTAAGGTGTAGGATGAGTACCAGTCTGTCATCTGGTAGATGATTGGTAACGTCTTGTTTTGGAGTTCTGGGAATGCCTGGTTGAGCGCTGTCCCGTGAGAGAGGTCGCCTAAGGGGTGAGAGTAGGAAGAAGCTGTATTTCCCTTAAAGCACTAGGATTTGATTATACTTGATTCTAGAAACCAGAGGTAGCACTACTCTCTTTTCCTCTCCCTTTTGTCCTCTTTTCTGCAGAACCCAGAAGTACCATGGCTTCTGACCTAGAGAGTAGCCTCACCTCCATAGACTGGCTCCCCCAGCTGACCCTCCGGGCTACCATTGAGAAGCTTGGGAGTGCGGCCCAGGCTGGGCCTCCAGGTGGCAGCCGCAAGTGTCCGCCAGGCTCACCTACAGATCCTAATGCCACCCTGAGCAAAGATGAGGCAGCAGTCCACCAGGATGGCAAACCACGATACAGCTATGCCACCCTCATCACCTATGCCATCAACTCCTCCCCAGCCAAGAAGATGACTCTCAGTGAGATCTACCGCTGGATCTGTGATAACTTCCCCTATTACAAGAATGCTGGCATCGGTTGGAAGGTGGGACAGCATCTATAACCTGGGATTATTTCAAGCCTTTGGCGATCTTTGTCTCTGCTTTTGTTTCTTCCTGTAACCTCACCTGTCTCAGAGATGTATGAACTTAAAATCTCCTGTCTCCCATCTCTTGTTTTATTCAGAGTTGAGCATAAGGTCAAGGAACTCCAGTAATACCAAGCCACTAAGTATAGTTACGGAGATGGCAGGATGCTGTTGCTCATCATACCCTCTTAGCTTCTGGTTCCTCAAAAGGAGATTCATTCATTTCACAAACATTTATCATCCCCCTACTATGTTTAAGTCACTGCAAGGCATGGCATTGCTTCTTCCTACCTAGAAGTAGGAATCTCATCCATTTTCCAAAGCTTCATTGCACACAGTCATCACCTTTTTAAAAACTGTGTACCAAGGAAAAAATAATATAATTAGGTCCTCTACCAACAGCACATCCAGCAAGCAAGTAATGAGAGGATAAGTTGTTTGGCTGGAGTTAAAGGAAAAAGGGACCTCCTCTTCCAACAAGGAAGGAAGACTGATGTTCTCCATCTTTGGGAGCAGCCTCTCTTTTGCCAGTTGTTGAGTGGGAGTGGGGATTTAATGTAGTTTTCACTCTGTAAATCACCAGTTGACATACAAACCAGATGATGAGCTGGAGGCTGTTGAAAACATTCCGTTTTTCCTCTCTAAATCTGTCGCCACTAGCTACCACAACTCCCAGCCACACCCAGCACCATATGCAGCAACCATTCATTCTCTCTCCAAGTGTGACCATTCTATGGGCTGTTGAGAAAACAAAGGTGAACTGTGCGTTTGTTTCACTCATGATTTTTGTTTTGTTATCATTTATATAAACAGCTTTAAGACATTACTCTTTTACTATGGTAGAATGAATTAGGGAACTGAGTGGCTGTGATTTTGAGGCATTTATATACCTGTTGTCAGTTGGCTGGGAAGGTTGAAGAACAATATGATCAGCTTTCCAGAAGCACCTGGTCATCAGATTTATAGCCATTACCTTTCACAAATTTAATTTCTGCATTTTTCTTGTCTCATTGCTCCAGCTCTCTGATAGGTAGTTTCTGCCCTCAGTCTAATTAAGAGATGCTCAGTTTGCCCCGACAGTTGAACTGTGTTGTGTATTATGTCCCTCTGTGTTCTGTTGGAAAATTTTCTGCTTTGCACAATGCTCAAATCTTACTTGCTTTTCTGCTCCCCCAGAATTCAATTCGGCACAACCTTTCTCTCAACAAGTGTTTCCGGAAGGTGCCCAGACCTCGGGATGACCCCGGGAAGGTGAGATACTGCTGGAAGCATTGGAGGAGGAGCAGGAAGGACTGAGAAGTGGTTGACAGACTGGAGTCCTGTGGCTGTTTTAATTACCCAGAAGAGGAAGTCATACTAATTAGAGAAGCAGCTTTATTTTTTCTCAGAGGAAGAGCTTGGCCATCAAGCTTGTTGGGCCCCACTAGCATGAGTGACTAAGGAAGATCAGAGTTCTTCTCAAGAAGAATTACTCAAAGGAAGAGAAAAGGGAACATTTTTTTTAATAGAGATATTTATGATAAAGTGGATTTTGATATCCCTTTTCTGTGTGTGGCACTCTTTCTAGATATAAAAGGGAGACTTAGTAACCTTTGTCGGAACTTTCCTATACGAGAAGCCTGTGATTTTTATCATCAGAGGGGAGAAGGGGTAGATCATTCTCTTCATCAGACAGATGTGCAATGCTAAAGACCCAGAGTCTTTAGGTCTTGCCTCAGGTCACATGGAAGAGATGCATTATATCTGGGCATTTCCAGCCCTTGACTTGATACCATTGTTCTGCCCCCTCCAGAACAATCAAAATCTGTATTTGAACCACAGGGGTACCTCTGGCAGGCTCAGTGAGCTTTTAGGATAAATTTATTTTTAAAAAATAGTCAGTATCCTCAGGATTCTGTGTGAATCTCCAGTCCTTCTTCTCAACATAGACTATTTTATGTAAAAATCCACTCAAATATCTACTTTTCCAGGGGCAAGAATTTCCACATATAACTATTTTGTTCTCTTGGGGTTGGGTTCTCCTTCCAGGGGTCTTACTGGACGATTGACACCTGTCCTGACATCTCCCGAAAGAGAAGACACCCCCCAGATGATGATGTAAGTCCTCACCTCATGGGGAGATGCCATTTCTGAGCCAGCTGCTCCTTCTACATGCCTTCCTGTATTTTCAATCCTTTCCTATATTTGGGGCAAAGGGTGAATACCAGCGGAGGTGAAACTGTGGGTGTTGGGAGGGTATTTAGCTCCTGCTTACAGATACCCATTCTTTCATAATCCTCAGCTATCCCAAGACTCACCAGAACAGGAGGCAAGCAAGAGCCCACGGGGAGGTGTTCCAGGGAGTGGGGAAGCCTCGCTCCCCCCTGAGGGGAATCCTCAGATGGCACTTCAGAGCCCTGCATCTATCACCGGCTACAGCCAGGTGGGACACAGAGGTGGCAGAGGACATCGGGATGGATGGGTGGGTGGCTGGTGAAAGATCAGAAAAAAAAGTGAGAGGAGAAGGGGAGTGTCAGGAAGACCGTGTGAATGTAATGTAGGAAGAGGGCCGGAGGCTACATCAGGATAAGAACAGATGAGGAAAGGAGAAAATGATACTCATTCATTGAGAAGCTGGGAGATGATGGAAGGCAGACAGGAGAACTTGGAGACAGCTGAAGGGCTGTATTGGTGTCTCATTTAGGACATACATCAAGTCTTTCTCCCCTCTTTTTCCAGGGCACAGGATCTGTGGATGGTGGAGCAGTAGCAGCAGGGGCTCCAGGCCGGGAAAGTGCTGAGGGTCCCCCTCCCCTGTATAATACCAACCATGACTTCAAATTCTCCTACTCAGAGATCAATTTTCAGGATCTAAGCTGGTCCTTCCGTAACCTCTACAAATCCATGCTGGAGAAGTCATCTTCCTCCTCTCAGCATGGTGAGTCTGGCACTGGGATGGGAGCATGGACAGCATTGTATTTTTGAATAGGTGGTGACATTCTCTTCTCTCCCTTCTTTCTTATTTTTTAACATAAGGAGAGGTTGATCGCTGGTGAGGGGAAGCATGTCATGAACCCAGACTGACGGAGTTGAGCTCTTCTGGCTTAGTTCTGAAGGACAGCTATTTCAAGAGGCGGGTGGGTTATTAGCTTCAGAAAGTGAGTTGGAGGAATCACCCTTCTAGAACTAAGGGCAGTGGCTTTATGGCTGCAAACGAGTCATTTAGAGGATGGTCACTAGGGGGCAGCAGTACACTCCCTTCCCTGAGATTCCCTGTTGAGAACAACTTAACTTTTTAGCATATTTATATTTATTAGGAAAAATTTCAAACAGATGCAAAAATAGAGAAAAGTATAATAAAGCCTCATGGTTCCATTGCCCAACTTTAACAGTTACCAATATGTTGCTAACCTTGTTTCATTTACCCTCCAGCCTTTTTTTTGAATTGAGATAATTTAATATCATTATAACTATTCAATATGCATCCTTCATCTAAAGACTTTTCATTTAATTATCCACTGTCATATCACTAGTAACATAATCAACAATGCTTCCGTAGTATCGGTTTATATCTTGTCTGTACTCAAATTTCCTGAATCATCATGTGAGAATGATTTAAAGTTCTTATTGGGAGGCTTCTTGAGAGCTCCTTTGGCTCAGCCCTCTGCAATTCCTGATTGTTTTTGTTTGTTGGTTTTAAAGAAATGAGAGGTACGGGTGAAGTCAAGACTTCAGGTGAAGCAGCAGGACTTGCTCTGCACAGTGGCCCTGTATAGGCAGCAGGAGAGGAACAGAATGACCAAAAGGGGTTAGAAATCACCTTTTGGAAGATTCATATTCATTGTCATGAGTTCTGTCTTTCCCATCCCAGGGGATTCATACTGTAGCATTTGCTGAGTCTAGCTGAAGTGGCTGAAGTCAGTTGCACGTGGGGATCTTGGAGAGGCTTTCAGAAACAAAGTGAAAAATTAGATTGAGTGAGGACAGCGAAGTTAAATTGTGGCTGGAAGCCCCGAGCCTCCATCTCTAGTCCTTCCCTGCCCAGTCTGAGGAATTCATCCATCCCTCTTCTGGGGTTCTCCCAACTCCATTTGTTGGTGGTAAATATTAAGAAGAATGCAGGGACGATAGGAAGAGGAGAGAAGAGATGCCTAATTGCATTGTTTTATTTATAATTTACTTTTTAACTTTATCTGATGTCTGATTTCTTTTGAAACTGATTCCAGACCTACACCAAACTCCCTGAAAAATAGCATGAAGAGGTACATGCTGACCTTTTTGCTAAATCCCAGTAGTCACCACAGTGTCACTGTGCCTCTGTCATAGTTGGCAGGGGAAGGTGGAGGGGGTGGGGGCAGGGCCAAGGAGACCCTGTCCCAGAATACCCTTTCCCTTTGAAGCCTGCAGTGCTTGTCTGAGGCCTCCCATCTCAACCCGGTGGAAATCCTGTTCAGTGAAAAATGCCCTGCCCGAGTGACTTGCCTCATTCCTCCAACCCTCCAGGCTTCTCGTCTCTCCTGGGGGACATGCCACCCTCTAACAACTACTACATGTACCAGCAGCAGCCACCGCCTCAACAGCAGCCGCCCCAGCCGCCCCAGCCGCCCCCACAGCCTGTGCAGCCGCAGCCACAGACACCAGCCCAGGGCCCCTCAACTGTAGGGGGTGCCCCTCCACTGCACGCCCCAAGCCCAGATGGCTGTACCCCCCAAGGGGGGAAGCAAGCCGGTGCAGAAGGCTACGGGCCTCCCCCGGTGATGGCCATGCACCCCCCCCAACTGCAGCACGCAGGCTATCACCATCCCCATCAGCACCATCCCCACCCCCACCCTGCCCAGCAGCCGCCGCAGCAGCAGGCACAAGGCCAGCCTCCTCTCAACAGTGCTGGCTTCGGTGAGTTAGTGTGCATGCGGAGCCTAGAGGAGGGTGGAATGACCCCTTGTTCTGACTCTGGCCTGGAGGAGTAATTGGTTAGGAAGTTTACAGTGGGGCTTTTAACCTTGCTCCCCCGTCTCATCTGAGCAAATGAAGTTGCCACTTAGAGCTTTCTGTTACAGAATTTGAGGACAAATTGGGGTGGTTTGACATATTCTGCTATGAGCTGGGCCATCTATACTTAGAGCATGGATATCTTCACTAATCCTAAATCTCCAGAGAGGGAGATTCTAAAATTATCTTGGTAATACAATTAATAACCTGCAGAGATGCAAGAATCTTGCATGTAGTCGACTGCGGTCAGCTGGCTGAATCTTAGACAGCACGCATTACTCACTTTTCCTTCCTCTTTGCAGCCTTTCCTTCTGACTGGTGCTCAAATATCGACTCCTTAAAGGAAAGCTTCAAGATGGTAAATCGGCTCAACTGGTCCAGCATTGAGCAGTCACAGTTCTCAGGTCAGTGACTGAAGGGTGATAAGCTGCAGGGGGAGGGATACATCATAAATGTAAGAACCTGATAGAGACTGAAATCAGCAGGGGACGGCTAAGTGAAGTTTGAGGATTGGGGTGTTCATTGTGCCCTTTCTTATTTCACAAGATGGGTTATGTTGATATTATTTTCAAATTAATTTTGCCTTAATCCAATATATGACAATGGTTTTTCCTAGCTAATTCTGTCTCAGGAATTCTCCTGGATCCCTATTTTGTAGTTTTGTCACGATTTATTGACAGTGTGACCACAACCAACTTGCTCAGTCACTTTGACATTTTGTTTTATTCATCAATAAGATGGAAATATAATAAGTCTTTATAAAGAGCACATAGAATGAGTTTGAGAATGCAGAGCTCTAAGAGATGTCCATCATTACTAGTAGTGTTGAATTGTAACGTGGTTGGAACAGTGAGATAGGGATGTATCTGGAAGGTGCTCTGGGCCTCTGCAAGGTTAGCACTTCTTGCTTCTCTGCAGACCTGATGGAGAGTCTGCGACAGGCAGAGCAGAAGAACTGGAGCCTCGACCAGCATCATATTGCCAATCTGTGCGACTCCCTCAACCACTTCCTTACACAGACTGGTCATGTGCCCCCCCAGGGGGCCCCCCACCGGCCACCAGCCCCTGCCCGTATTCCTGACTCCTGTGCCCTCACCAGTGGCAAGCAAGAGCCAGCCATGAACCAAGGTACTGAACAAACAACTTGCCCAGGCGGTGGAAACTATGAAGAAAAGGGAGGGGAAGAGAAGGGCGGGAGAGGATTGGGGAAATCGTCCTACGAGCAGTGATCCACTAAGCAGTGGGACTAGTTTGTCCAGCCTACTGACTGAGCATCTATTGTATCAGCAAAGTCATCTACTGAAAACTGCCAAAGAAATAGGCCATATGGTTCCTTTTTAGACCTTGAATTGGGAGATCAGAACTACTTAAGAAAGGGGAGGAGAAAGTCCCCACTCAAAATTTGGGTCTTAGCAAGCCCTACCCAGATCATATCAGGTGGAATTATGATTCTTTTGTTATGTGATCTTTAAATCAGTGAAATGAGAGATTCAGTGATCATGTTTCTTATTCATCATCCTTCTCATAGCTGTTACATTGTATAACTCTGGTACCTCATCCCTTTTTATCCTAAGTGGTGAGGACTGTAACTTCTGCAGACAGCCTTCATGCCTGCAGGAGCTACAGAACAGAACAGGGAGGGGAGAAGAGACTGGGAAGGAAGAGTACTTTTCTCCTCCCTCTATCAGATCCTGCTCCACTGAGTATATGATCCCATTCAAATAAATCTTGTCTTGCTTTGGCAGTGAACTCTTATGTGCACCCACAAGCCCCCCATCTCTACCCTGGCCCATCACCAATGTACCCAATTCCCACCCAGGACTCAGCAGGGTACAATCGCCCAGGTAAGAGCCACGAAGCTTGTTTCACCACCAACCCAGTATCTCTACTTTGACAAGTCTTACTTTCCTCTGGCTCTGAGCTTGCATCCCCGTCTTCTTGCCGGCCTCTGGTGGGAGGGTGTAAACCTTTGTGATTCCCAAGGCCTGAGGGTGGGCTGCCTGCTAGGGAGGTGTGTGTCATGGGAGCCTAAAGACCCATTTACTTTAAAATTAGCTCAGGCCTGCCATAATGAAAGGAAATAAAGTTATGAATATAAGCAAAAGATAGATAAGTAGAACATTTATGTGTAGCTTTGGAATCTAGATAGGGGATATACTCAGGCAAATAAAATGATCATGTTATATAAACGTATCTGCTTTGTGCCCATGTCTGTTTTCCTGTTGCCTGACCTCTGGCATCAGGGGTCTAGGATTGAACTATCTCTGATGGTGGGAGTTGGCGGGGGGAGACCCTAAATTGCCTAAGTAGTACAAAATGAACTGATCTTTCACCTTTAAATACATTTTACAAATTCACTATTATCATCTTGCCTAAGCACAAGTGTTTTCAGTTTTTTGGGTGACATCTGACTCTTCATGCATATATTCCTTATCCATGTAACACATACACAAATTTCTGTTCTGCTATTTCGTATAATAGCACCTTCTATATGCTTTTGTCATTCTTACAGAGCCTTCATAAGAATAATCTTTAATGGCTACATGTATTATTTTGCTATATGACCTAGTATACTCTAGTTTATTTCCTGAGACCTGACTGAATGGGTGCTGGTGACAAAAATAACTCTGGACTGATAAAGACAATAGTTTCACCAGACCTTCCTCATGGTATTATTCAGGACTGAGCATTGTCCATCTAGCCTGAGAGGACAGCTTCCCATCTACTCTCCTTTTAATGTCTTTCTCTTTTCCTGACAGCACACCACATGGTCCCTCGGCCACCAGTTCCCCCTCCTGGTGCCAGTGAGGAGATCCCTGATGACTTCGACTGGGACTTGATCACTTAGTGCGTCATCGAGTGTGGCTGTGAGCCCAGGGCTGGGCGTTGAAGTCTGGCGATGGGGAAGGGCAGCCCCAGCCCATCCCTCCCCTATTCCTCTGTACATAGATAAACATCCTCTTTCTTTCTTGCTCTGTCAGAGAAGCCGCTGCAAGATGCTGCCGAAGATAACCCCCTTTCCTGCCTCATTCTTCCTCTTCCTCCTTTTTCCCCACTTCTTTTATTATTATTCTTATTATATTATTATTATTATTATATTATTGGGTATATGCTATCCCCAGTCTCCTATCCCTACACCATGGACTGTGTCCACCCCTTGGCTAATTTAAAATCATTTGGCTGGAAGGTGAGGCCTTGGTAGCTATGGAGAAAGGTTCGAACTCCAATTACTTTTCTCTTAGAGAAATTCAATGCTAATCCCACCGTTCAGGCCTAAATTGTTTTCTGTTCCTGTCAGTTCAGCCCAGGACTGGAGAGGCCACATTATCAAGTAAAAGTGATCCTAAAACACTGCTTGGCAGCCATAAATTTGCAGGTTTTACTCAATGGTGCTAATTTTGTTCTCTGAGTTCTTCCTCACCCCTTTATATCTTCAGTCCTTACTCCTGCCAATCCTCATTCCCCATTAAGTGTCAGAGTGATGGTGGTGGTACAGGAGGGCGACAGTATAATCCTAGTGGAGTAAGAGCCTGGGTTGGGTCATGTAGAACACTGTAGAGGGGTGATGAAATGTAACGGAGTCAGAAATGGGGTATATGCTACTGTCAAATAAACTTCCGTTGGCCTATTCCTAGCCCATTCTCTGTAGGAGATAGAGTTGGTCTCAGCCAGGACTCTGCTTCTGTGGTGGGGATGAAGACAACTATTTAGCATAGGCTCAGCTTTTAGGAGATGGTTTCAATGTAACCACATTGGCTTTTAAACAAAATTTTCTCTGGAAATTAAGTGTGGCTAGTAATTACACTTGTAAATTATCCCTCCATCCCCAGTTCTCCTGTGTGAGTATTATTTTGTCCTCCTTTAGTTGTTTGCTCATTCTGTCCACCCATCTTATTTTGTTTCCCCATTTTCTGGGATTCTCAAAAGAAAAGTAACCCATTATCACTCTTAATTTCATCATGTCCTAGGACATGATGGAATCTCTTTCCCACCAGTCATAGTAGAACCAAACCTATAGTACTGGTGGCAGGAGGGCGGGGAAACGAAAAGGAAGCTGGTGTGGACACGAGTAGGGAATATTCCAGTTATTTAATTACGCAGGCAGATGCTTCTCTTGGAATCCAGATAATTGGGCTGAAGCTTTTGGAATTAGGCTTTTTTGGGGTGAAGGAAGTTAATAGAGGACATTGAATAATCTAGATGGAAGAGTTCAGTAAAGGCTGAGGGAGACAACATATCTCTTTGAACAAGGAGTGGTCATGATTTATTACTGCAAAGGACTAGTGTATATTTAATGTTAACTGTTGAATTTTAGTTATGGGAGGGAAGATCAATTTTACTTCTGTTTTTATTTCACTGAATGTTCACTTTCCAAAGCTACAGGAACAAAATATATGGAATGGGCAGGACCCCTCTCTCTGTGACTTCTGCTTTTTGTTCAGATTCTTTTATTTACTGATGATTTCCAAGAGGTCTAGCTTTCCACTCTCCTGCTTTTTCCCCTCACCCACTCCTTCCTCCCCTTGGTAAGGGGGTTATATATGAAAGTCTGTTGAAGTCCGATGAGACTGAAGTAAAGGAGCAGGAAAGGGCTGTTAACTAAAGAGCACTTTATTTCTTTGAAGTTCTTTGTAAGAAATGGGAATAGGCATAGCTTGAATCCCCCATGTATTGGGGGGCAGTCAGTGAGGCTGAAGGATGACATAATATTCCCCACTGGGGAGAGGAGAATTTCTCATAGAGGGAGCAAAATGCCCTTGCCCACTGTCCATTCTTTTCCTTCTTTCTGGTCCAGGTGCCTCCTACACACAACTTCCCAGCTTTCCCCCTAAGATTCCCCCTTGACAGATTATGATTCCTCTTTTTTGAACCCCTTATCTACTCAGGTCCATCCAGGATTTGTGAGGGTAGACGAAATCATCCATGTGAATGTCCCTTGTTTATAATTCGTCTGTGTCTTCTGAAAACTAGTCTCCTTAAGGACTCTGGTGGACAGCCAGGGTAACTGAAGTTTGGGGCTAGGGCTGGAGATTGGCCGTCAGGCCTCCTGGGATTTTAGCTCTCCTCCACTAAACTCAGCCTTGCGAAATGGCACAGGACCAACCTGGCCCTCTTTGGGTCTCAGTTTCCCCTCCCTTCCATAAAATGGAAAATACTTTTTCTTGTTGGTCCTGCATTGCTGGACTTGAAGTATAGTCGTCTTCGTATTGGGTGATGTGTGCAACACTGCAGAAGCTCACTGCCTAAAGAGGAAGTAAGGGAGAAAGTGGAGGAAAGGGACAGAAGGAGCAATTACTTGGTATAGATCCACCCATCCCTGCCTTCCTCTCTTCAACCCCCATGTTTCTGGTTTGCTGAGTCCTTAATACCACCCATAATGCTTTGCATTGGTGCAGGCTGGGAAATGGGTGTATGGTCTCACAAGTTGTTTTTTGCATGCTTTCTTAATAAAAAAAAAATGTTTATGATTTTATTTTTCTGGTATTGGTCTCAAATTTCTCTTTTTGTCAGGGTCAGAAGGGAGAAATGTCAAAGTCTTTGTTTACAGTTGGCTTTTTGTGTCTTTCCCACATCCCACTACTGTGTTTGTTAACCCTGAAGTTTTTATAAGACTGATGAGAAAGAAGAGCCATGTAAACCATACTGTTAACATTCCTTTTTCCAAATTCTATTAAATACAGTGAAATGTTGTTGGGAGAGGCAGCTTATACCCCCTGAAGCTTGGTGTGTGGACTAGGCCACCTTGCTGACATTTCTGAGATATTTTAAAGATTAAAGAGACTGCAGTTTGAGAAGGAGTTGGGTCCCTATCTGCAACTTCTGTGAACACTTTGAGGTACTCACCAGAGTTTTTCATCAGAAGTGAGGACATTCCAAATGTAAGAATTTTTTCAGAATATATGTCCAAGATAAATGGGACTCTCAGAAGGAGTCCAGACCTGCCAACTATTGAATCTTGTAACTGTGCTGAGATCGTTCACCCTAATGTCCTATACACTAGCTCCAGGAGTTTGGGACTCACACTCAGGGTCTTGTGAGATGTGCTGGGATTTCCAGAAGGCTTGCTAAGCCATTATAGCAATCCTACAGCTTCCCACCATGAAATTTATTTACTGTAGATTATGATATATTCTGAGTGTCAAACAAAAGAATCCATGAATCAGCTTTGTAAAGAACCATCAAAAAGCATATATTTATTCACATCAAATACATAAGCAGATTAAGCTGGAAGGTAGCATTGCAAATACTACATCATGTCAGATATTACCTTATCTTACAAAGAATTCCTAATGGTTTGAATTGACTACTTTATAATTTACTTGTAGTCCAGACCTTCACCTCATCTATTGAACAAATAATAGTGCCTTGCAAGCCTAAAGTATCTCATTTTTTAGATTAAGTCATTGTATTCAGCTTAGATGAGGCTATGTTGTATAAACTTGAAGTTTTAGAGGTTTAACACATAAAAGTTCATGTACAGAGAAAAATGAGAAGGTTATGTAGAGTTGAATAATGTTTTTTTAAAGCTATATATTGGCTGGAATGGATAGACAAGTTGAAAATGTGTGGTCATGAACGAATGAATATTGAGATGCTGGATAAAAAAGTAAAGAATGTGGATAAAATTCATCTTTCAAAACAAGAAGTCATTTTAACATGCTTGCAAAAACTAGCAGCATAAGCACATGACTTAGAAACATGGTTAAATAGAAGAAACATGTAAAATTGTTGTGAGTGTGAGTGTTATCTCTGGGAAGTGGGATTGGGAGGAGGGATTGGTTGGGCAGAGTGTGATGGGAAACTCCTTATATTTCATTATAAGCCTGGAATTCTCTTTAAATTATGTGCATGTATTGCTTTGGTAAAGGTAAGCAATTTTAAAAATGCAAAGGTATGTCTGGTAATTTTGGTGTGAAAGAAACATACCTAGAGTCACGTGTTTAGAAGTTGAATGGTACTCCTAAGGGTGCTCAGACAGGCTGGGGTGAATTCCAAAAGGGAGGCTCCACACCCACCCTCTTTTCTCCTTTCATTTGAGATGAGTTTCTTGAGAAATCTTAATTTGGAGCAAAAGGCAGGAAATAATCTGAATCTTATGAATTTAGACGTTATTAGAGGCACAAAGTCTAATGTGGAAGACAATTTAGAGGCAAAGGAGGAATAAGGGAATTGACAACTTAAGAAAAGGAATGAAAGATAGATGGCTCTATCAAAAGGCAGATAAACAGAGAAGGGAGATTCCTGAACCGCAGCTTACACACCATCTCATGAGTAAGTTTTTAGATGCCTTAGCAGTACGTCTACACAATATGCTACATAATACACAATGACAATAATGCTAAAATTTCATAGACTTCATCTTGAACCTTTTTTTTTTCATTCAAAAACATCACCACCATCAGCACAACAAAGCCATAGAGTAAATGATCATTTTTCATGCAGGTGGGACCAGAAGAAAAGGTTTTAAATTGAATCTGGGAGGGGACTTAGATAATACCAAAGAAAAAAATGTAGTGGTGGAAACATCATTTTAAAGCTGACTAGATTTTCATTCATCTCACATGGCTTAGTTTGGGATAGAAATAAACTAATTCTTGCAGAGATTCTCAAATTCAGCATTCATCAGAAACAAGAGAGCTTGTTAGAACACTTGCTGGGACCCACCCCCAGAGATTCTGATTCAGCAAGTCTGGGGTGGGACTTGAGACTCTGTGTTTCTAACAAGTTTCCAGGTGAAGCTGATGTCACTAGTCTGGGACCAGACTTTGAAGGCCTCTGGACTGATGCTTTGATGGTTTTTCCTGAAGGTCCCCTGCCCACCATATCCCTCATCCTTAGAAACATGTTGCCCTGGGTGAATTCCTAAGAACCTTTGCCCAGGGCAGCTGCTTCATATTTTCACACAGCTGTACTGATGCTATTTCTTCCCAAAGAGACTTTGTTTGGGGTACAGCTGGTAGAATGTGTGAGCTCCTCACTGAAAGCTGCCTCCAGAATGCCCTTCATGGACTGCCTTGCTTTCTTCCTAAAATCTTTCCCCAGGAGGGCATAGAGGAAGGGATTCAAGCAACTATTGGCAGATGCTAGAGCAAGGGACACATGGTCCCAGGACAGCAGAGCTTCTCTAGAGGGATTTTCTGAGTCAATCAGCAATAATAGGACTCCAACAATGTGGTACGGAGCCCAGCAGACAAGGAAGGCAACCACCACGGCTGTGGCCACTCGCAAGGTTTTGCTCCAAGACTTGTTAAAGCTGGCCCGTCGTAGTCGGAAAATGATGAGGCCGTAGCAGGTCACCATGACAACAAAGGGCAGCAGGAAACCTACCACTAGTCTAGTGATGGTCATTGCCACCAGGGCTGTTGGTACTTGAATGTCATATGCAAATTGGTATAAATTATCATCCTGGAAATAATATGTGTATAAATAATTGCTGGAAACACCAGAGAAAAGCTCTGAATCAGTAGAGAAAAAAGCATCAGAGTTGTCCAGAGGGGTAGTTCTGTGATCTTCAATGGGAAACCCACTGGGAATTGCAGGTGAGACCTCACCAGCAGACTTAAATAAATTATAATATGGATGTTGACCAGGTGATCTAGCTGCATCCACAGCAAGTGAGTCTCCAGAAGGTGTTTGCAATGCTTCAGAATATAGGACAGCAGTTGCTGTCCTAGGATGATCATTTGTTTGTAAAGAGAAAGATTCTAACCTGTCATCCATTTCCCCAGGCAGCTGAATGATGGAGTTGTTAACAGTCCTGTTTTCCAGCACATCAAAGGTGAAGTCTGAATAGTCTAGTGAGCTGTAGAGATCAAAATTGTAGCCACACATATTATGGTCATCTACAGTGAACATTTCCCGGTACATGAACACAGGTATACACATTATAAAGGCCACCACCCAAATACATCCACAGACGGTGAAAGCTGTCCTCACATTGCGGTGATTCTGGCACCAGATCGGCTTGAGCACCAAAAGACAGCGGTCCAGGCTAATGGCTGTTAGCAGGAAGACGCTGGCAAACATGTTGAGGATGATGACGGAGGGGATGAGCTTGCACAGGAGCCAGCCGTAGGGCCAGTGTCCCTGGAGAGCCAAGTGAGCCAGAGAAAAGGGCAAGGAGAGGCAGCAGAGAAAGTCTGCCAGCGTGAGATGGAGAAACCACACTGTGTTCACTGTTCGCTGCATCTTCAGGCCGGCCACCCACAGCACCAGCCCATTGCCTGGCAACCCCAACAGGAAAGTGAGGCTGAGGATGACCATGGAGAGAATTACCTGGGGTTTATCCCAGAGCTGTGAGGGGAGGTCAGTTGAATTGGTCTCAGCAGAGAAAGACTCCATTGCTAAACTTATATAAAAATATAAACAAAAAAATGTTAACACTATCATTTTAAAAAGTACCTATTCTTAGAAGTCTAACATTCTCCTGTAAAGATGTAGACCCACAAAGGCCTTCCCATCATTTTACTTTGTATTCCTTGACTTCACATTGAACCACGCACATTCTCTGATAAACAATTTAAAATCTACTGTATCAATTCAAATGTGTATCAAAGTAATAATTTCATTTCGAAGTCCTGTCAATGTAAGTTTCTCTCCTCTTTCTTGCACTTTCAATCTCTAATTTCCACTGGTTCCTTTCCTTACTTAACATCCCCTGTGAAAAACAAACCAACAAGCTAAATGGACAAATAGCAGCTTCTAGACCAGAGGTTCCCAGCTTGAAATCCATGAAAGGGCATGAGAAGCTGCTCCATCACCACCTGGAATGGTATGTGCAAGTGGAACTTTACATCAGCTTCATGTATCTGGGGGCAGAAGGTCTGTTCATTCCCTCCACCAGATTGTCATTCCCTCCACCAGAGAGGGGCTGCTCCAGACTCGGTATGTTTTTTAGATACAGCCTCAACTTTTCCTTTTGCTCTAAAATTTCTCTCAACTTCCTCACCACCCATCATTTGATTCTCATTTATTTGTTTTTTTATGAATATAACTGGAAAATAGCTTTATTATTAGAGAAGCAGTAAATAGGCATGAAGAAAATTGGAAAATATAGAAAGCAAAAATAAGAAAATAAAAATGTCTTTTATTTTTTATATGCCACCAGTCAATGGTTACTATTTTAGCACCTTAATTTACATCCTTCTGAATCTTTTATATATATATGTGTGTGTGTGTGTGTGTGTATTTTTTGTTAAGCAAAATTTGACAAAACTACATCATGCTGTGCATATTGGTCTTTAAAATTTTTTAATTGTGGTAAAAAACATGTAACATAAAATTTAACATCTTAGCCATTTTTAATTGTATAGCTGTGTTAAGTATATTCACATTATTGTGCAACTGGTCTCCAGAATTTTTTCAGCTTGTGAAACTGAAACTGTGTACCTATTAGACATCTCCCTACTTCCCTCTTCCCCTAGCCCCTGGAAATCACCATTCTACTTTCTGTTTCTATGCATTTGATTATTCTAATACCTCATATGGATGGTATCATACAACATTCGTCATTTATAACTGGCTTATTTCATTTAGCATAATGTCCTCTAGGTTCATCATGTTGTAGCATGTGTCAGGATTTCCTTGCCTTTTTTTTATTAAGGTATTATTGATATACACTCTTAGGAAGGTTTCACATGAAAAAACAATGGGGTTACTACATTCACCCATATTATCGTGTCTCCCCCCATACCCCATTGCACTCACTGTCCATCAGTGTAGTAAGATGCCACAGAATCACTATTTGCCTTCTCTGTGCTGCACTGTCTTCCCCATGATCTCCCCCACCATGTGTGCCAATCATAATACCCCTCAATCCCCTTCTCCCTCCTTCCCCTCCCACTTTCTCCCACTCCTCCCCTTTGGTAACCGCTAGTCCCTTCTTGGAGTCTGTGAGTGTTGCTGTTTTGTTCCTTCAGTTTTACTTAGTTGTTATACTCCCCAAATGAGGGAAAGGCTTACCTTGCTTTTTAAGGCTGAGTACTATCCCATTGTATGTTTCTACCACATTTTGCATATCCATTCATCTGTTGATAGACATTTGAGGGGCTTTCTCCTTTTAGCTATTGTGAATAATGCAGCTATGAGCATGGATGTAAATGCGTGTTTGTTTGACATACCGGGAACTTCACTGAGGCAGAAGGATCTGCTGCGGCACTGTCCCTAACTCATGTATAACTCTGTGTAAACAGTTCAGTCTAAATAGGCTTAAAGAGTGGCTGATGGACATAAGTGGCTCTAACAGTGACAACATTTTATCTTGGGCATTAAGTAAAGTAACTTTAACAGGTATTGTTTTTAAATCAAAATAATATATGATGCATGGTAAAAACAAAAAACAAAAAACTTATGCTAGAAAGTTTATAGCAAATAAGAGTTCTCTGCATTCCCAAAGCCTAGATCTACTCTTCAGAGGTAATAAATGCATATTATTTTATGAACTGCTTGCTTTTTTTACTTAGCAGTCTCCACATTATACATTAAGGTTGTACCTTAAGGAATATTTAGTCAATACCAATTTTTTCCAAATTGCCCCAAATTTCTTTTCTAGCTGATTTGCCCACAATCATATCCAGTCTAGGATCACACTTCGCATCAGGTTGTTGAGTTTCTTAAATCTCTTGATTTAGGATAGCTTCTCTTTTTTTTCAAGGATACTGGCTTGTTTTGAGATCTGTTGTTCTTACCACTTACTCCTTAACCCTTTGTAATTTGTCTTCTGCCCCTATCACTCCACTAAAATTTCCCCTAAATGACAAATCCAAGCATCTCTTTTTCTGTCTTCATCCTCTATAATATATGTCATTTGTTGCATTGACTCCTTAATACTCTCTTCTCTTGGCCTCTGTGACATTACTCCCCCCTAATTCTGAACCCTCCTGAAAACACACCCAGCTTCAAGCTGTCCTGAACAACTCACTATTCCATGTTAACGCTGTTATCTATTCCTTAGCTAATGCTGTTTACTTCTGTCTGGAACTATGTCCTTCACTTTAACCTCCTCCATCCTTAATCTCTACCTGTTGAAATCCTAGCCATTCTTCAAGATCAAGCTCAAATATTATATCTTCCTTGAAACCTCTCTCCTCTTATAATCCCAATTGGAAATCAGTTCTTCAGCCTCTTAAATTTGTGTCTGTGTGAGTTGAACCTCTTTTCATAGCCTCTGGACAATGACAAATCTTTTATTATAATAATTACTGTGGCTGTCTTATCTATTATTCTGGCCTTAAATTTCATCATGGCAAAAATGAGTCTCATTCTTAAATGCTTGTTCCATAGAATTTAGCACAATGCATTATATGACATAAACAACAAAGATTATTTGAATGGATGAATGCTCACTTTGGAGTTTCACTTTTTTTCTGTTTTCAACTAAATTAAAAATTCTTCTTCTCATCCATTTAATCCAGTAAGGATGCTGCCTCTTCTAACTTCCTTTTTGTTTTCCAGTTCCCAATTCTTCCTGATTGTAATAACATTTTATGTTTCCTTTCATAGAGGCCCAAAATACTTTTGTGACTTAGAAGTAGTTCTGCTGAGTTAACCAAATGTCACAGGGTCTTACATGATTAGCGGAAGTTAAAATAACTGAGTCAACAAAACAAAAAAGAAGAAGTAACTCTTATTCCCCTTACTTAATACTTAATACCATTAGGATTTCTGTTGTGCATGGCAGCTGATCTACTGTCCTTCTTTGACGTAGGATAAATGTACAGATCCACAAGAGAGAGAAGGATAGAGTTATAGAGTCCTGGGGCTGAAAGGAAACAGCTATCAACTCTCCTTGTTTCTATTTTTATTTTGCAGTTTTCAACACTGAATGCAGAAAATTAGGTGACTTTCACATATGCACATCTAGGAGGGTTCTCAGATCCTCAGTCCAATGACTGTCAGCCCATACCCCTTTCACCACAAAGAATCACAACTGAAAAGCCTTTGGTACTAAGACAGGCCAAGGTACTGACAGCTGCACAAATTGAAGCAATAAAGACAGAAAAGAGCAAAATTCCAAGATAAAGAATTGGAATTATCTGGGAGCTCATATATAATCTGTCTTAATGAAAGTATGTATGAGTCAGTGCCTTAAAAGTCTTTCAGAACAAGAGCACTTTTCACATTTCCCCAAGTGTTTTGGCTGAAAAGTACATTGACATTTAAGATAAGTAGAGGCTATTTTTTTTCTTCTTTTTTAGATTTCAATACTGAACTGGCCAACAGTAATCAAAACGATAAATAAAATACTGAAACTCAAACTCAACTATGAAAGGGAAAGAGCAGTAGATTCCAGGATCAAATACTAATGATATAATCACTAGAAATAAAGAATAAAAGAAAAAAAAGGAAATAGAATGAGAAAAATACACACACACACACATATAAAATAGATTATTCAATGATTCAAAAAGCAAAACAACTAGGGAAAGCTGGAATCAACGTTCAGAAGGAGAAACATAGCTAATTTAAGAGAGGGAAAAATAAGATAAAAATTCCTCGTTAGTTCTGGAATGAAAATAATAAGAGCGAAGTTAAACAAAATGTGGAATATTAAGAAAAAGACAGGTGTACATGGGCTAACACAAAAGTTGGGGACAGAATATAATGAAGGAAACTGAAGATAATGACCCTCAAATCGTTATCTATAATAAGCAAAACAAGCCAGGCACAAGTCACTGGTGGATCTAGATTTTCTTACCAAAAAGATGAGACAACGGCTGAAAGCTTCTGCACGGATCTGGTGGCCACCACTAGCCCTTTCTGGTCCTCACACTTAAATCACTATCAAGTCATGAAGTGTGTTTAGGAAACTTGCAGAGTGCTTCCCCTTCCAGCTCCCTGTTTGTTTCTGATGGTAAATGAAACTCTGCACTTTTGACTACCATCTGACTTCACAGAAGAGTTTCAAAGGCAGTCCCTTCTAAATGTTTCAGATAAAGATGAAAAAGCAGAAGTGGAAGGGCTTGAATCCCGGATGTTGCTGCAGTACACAGAGTACGTGTTAGAGAGAGTACTACATAGGTGTGTTCTGTTTTGTTTTAGAAATGAACAAAAATGACCCTCTGGTAGGTGAGGGTGAGGGTGGGAGTGGTTGGGAAGAATGACCTGCACACTCCCATATAATGAATCTCAAATAACATCTCTTATTAAATGGCTTAATATGTGTAAAGAAAGGTGCTAGGCCAAAAGCAGATTATTTAAACTATGTTGTAATCTCTAAAGATGCCCAATCTAGTGGGAATATGCACCCATACACAAAACACAGATTATAATGATAGCGATAAGGACAGAAAAGTAGTGGAAATTAACAGGTTGGGGTGTATTTAGCCTGGGGCATCAAGGAAAGCCCTGTGGTAGAACTAAGATCTGGCAGGTCCTTAAGGAACTACAGGTCTTCTATAGGCAGAAAAAGGGAGATAAGCTGTTTAGTGTTTAAGTGAGCATAGGCCAAAACAGGTGGGTGGGAGAGTATCCAGGCTCTGGGGGATGGGCAGGGGTCTAGTTGCTCAGAGTATGTTTCATTAAGAAGTTAGTGCAGGAGACTGAACAAGAACTTTGAGCAACAATTCCTGCTTCAAGGACCCCCCTCATAAAGAATTTTCACTCACATTATTCTTTTACATGTTACATATGAAATGAAGTTTGAGTCCAGTGCATGTGAGCACCGTTGCCTGTGGTGAATGTTTCAGTCTGTATTAAACAACTGATTGTCCAAACAATAATATCTGATTCTCTACTTGTTTGTATTCCAATCACCCTGGAATATTTCTGAAGAAGAAAGACCCAAGAAAAATGCCAACAATGGAGATTTAATTAGTTAATTTCCATTGTTATTACCTAATTTCAAAAATTGTATATACTTACAAGAGAGATTAATTGAAATAATAGAGAGGTATAAAGGGTAAAAGGGTAAAAGGATGAAAGTTTTTATCTCCCATTCTACTTCCAGGAAGTAACTATTTTTTTAATACATTAGTTTTCATTCTTTGTGAATTATTTCTATGTGCAATGCATTTTCTAAAAAAGGTAGTTTCAAACAAAAATGTGATTATAATTTACATGGGATTTTATGACTTCTTTTTCACTGAACCCTGTATCAGGACATATTTCCATGCTATTGCATGTCATTCTATTAATTATGGTCAGTCTTTTTAGCCCAATATTTGGAAACATTGAATAATGAACGTATTTAGAAAGCAGAGACATGTAGTATACAAAAGGCACTTACTTTAAGTATTTATATATATATATATATATACATACACATAACATGCACTTTATATATATATGCATATATATATAGAAATTAATTCTCATGATAAAAAATTTAAATACAGAAGGATTAAAGTAAAAATTGAAATTTCCTGAACACTTAGTTAACCTAATTCGACTCCCAGGAGGTAACCTCTTTCATAAGCACAAATGTAATTCCATTACACCTGTTTTATTCTGCTTTTCCCATTTATCTTTTCATAGTAGGACATAATAGTCCACGTTTTTAAATGGTTCCATATTATTCCATTTAATCAATTATTCCCCTGTTGATGGATATTGTTTTTACTCAATTTTAAAGCTGTCACATACAATACTTCAGTGAGCACTGTTCTATTTTACACATCTGTGACTATTTCCATAGAATGGATTCTTAGGATTATAATTTCTAAATCTAAAAGAATGTGCATTTAGATTTTTTGAAAGATACGGAATTTCTCACTACAGAGACTCCACCGATTTTCACTCCCACCAACAGTGGTGAGAGTATCTTTTCCACTTGTGAAAGGTAAGGTTCAATGTCATAACCATGTACTCTGCTCCTATGACAGACACTAGGCCTTTTACTGTAGGAGATGCAGAAGCAATGAGAGGTGTACATATTCATAATAGAGTAAGGGCTGCCTAGGAGGGCCCACCATACCCTGAGAACATTGAAGAAAGGCTGATTCTCACTGAAGTAAACAGGAAGATGATGCACTGAAGAGCAGGTAGAAATTTGATAGACACTAATAGGTGCCGTAAAATAGCACATTATCTGCCTCTGTGACCTGTGGACCATGGATTTGTTTCTATCTCCAGTTGCCTGCTACGTTGCCTGGTATAATACATTTGGGGCACAAATGAATGAACCAATAAATGTTTCATTGAAAAGGAGGTTGACTTTGAATATAATTTAGAGAGTTAATTTGAGTCTTTAAAGTTGTTTTTGGCATGGATTCAGTTTTACTGGGTCCTCTTTAAAGATTATAGAGCAATTAAAACCAGTGAGAGAGAGAGTCCAGCTGTATTCCTTAGATTTTCAGATCAACAAGGAACTTAGTGAAAACATCTTGTGAATAGAACATCCCTGTTTCTGGATGACTTCTATCCCTTCTTATAAAATGCTAGTGTTTTGTGCTGTAATGTGGAAAATGTGGGGGAATTTATGAGGTTCCCTTCTGTTTTGTTTAATATCTAATTAAAAATTTATAAGCTTCCACAACAGAGAGGGCAGGTGTGGTCATGGCAGCCACTGGCAACTGTAGGCTCTAACAGGATTACTGGTTTCCCTACCAGCTACAGGCCTGTGGGTTCCTAAATTCCTGCCAAGCACCAGCAAGACCTTTCAGCCTGAAAGACAAGCACATGCTTGTTGTTCCAGGTAACACCCTTTTCCATTTTTCTCTTTGAATTCTAGGAACAGAGTCTCCTGCAGTTATACCATCTTCTCCTATTTCTCTAGTCCTTCTAACACATTTGTAACCAAATCCTTGCATTAAATACCCTTTTTGAAGTACCCACAATGGTTTCTACTTTCCTGGCTGGGTAATGACTGATTCAGGGAATATTCACTGTACCTTCTCTGTAGGATTATTAAGAACAAATAAATTAAAATGTGCATGGCAGTACCCGCAAATGAACACTCAGTCAATGTTAACAATTAGTATGTCAAAAAACTAATGTGGTTTTTAATGCTAATCAAAACCATTCTCCATCTTGGACATGTAGCAAATAATTTACAGAATATTCCCTTCCTGTTCTGAAGTGGCATCCTTTCTGTCAAATGATATCCTAACCCATGGCCCTCAAGGATACAGATTAGATGAACTCTCTACTCCCTATAACATAACTAATTATGCTCAGTTATACTAAACCAAGTAGAAACACAGACTGAACAACAAAGTCACCTAGAAATTCAGTAGTTCAGTAGAAAAGTAAATACAACAAAAAAACTTAATCCCATCATAATAACAAATATCTGATGAATTTATGCCTGGGTCTTGAAAGATATCAGCCAACTTTGGCATGATAATCATTCAAACCTGAATGGTTTAAAGAAAAGTTAAAAAACTTTGTTTCTTCTATTGATTTCTTGGCCATTGATTTCCTATTATAATATATATCAAGCATGCATCTAGGGCAGCAAATGAAGCAGGATTGGAGGGGAAGTAAACTGAGTGTAGGCACATGTTTCATGACACCCTTTGTGACTTTAGTCCCATGAAACCGGAAGTGGAGAAGGGGACAAGGCTTTGCTCTGTGTTCATCTAATCTAATGAGAAGCCCTGGAAATGTTTTTAGTGGGGACAGGATTCAGGACTATGGAGGGGTAGATGGCTCTCATAAATGTAGGTTTAGATCGATTTTTGAGTACATTTTGATGAATTTTTTTAGGTTAGCTATTCTACTTGTTGCATTATTTAGAAAATGTCTTCTTCATTTTCTCTCTACTTTGACTTCTCTTCCCCATTTCATTTCCACTAGAATGCAAGAAAATGATACTGGTTGAAAAAACACCCAGTTTTTCCCTCTGTGTAGGGAAAAATCCAGTTCTCCATCTGCTGTGTGTCACCTTTACATGCACACAGCTGATACGTCACTTCTGACACTTCTGATCCTAAAAACGTGTTTTTTCTTCCCCCAGCAAACAATTTTGTGACACCAACTGGATGTCCTACAATTTAACTCAATTCTGACACTCTCTGCCTAGAGAGAGTGTCAGATCCCACAGGTTAAGGGATGAGTCCCATAAGACTCTACCCCACATTAGATGCTAATCACAAGTAGTAGGTCCCCAGGTTACTAACCCACAAACTTATGCCCATCTTGGCTGCACATCAGAGGGTTCTCATGACCCCCTCCCTCTTGGATCAATTATTCACTAGAGTGGGTTGTGGAACTCAGGGAAACACTTACTTGTGTTTGCCAGTTTATTAAAGGATAGCAGTGTACAGACATACATAGGGTGAGGTCTGGGAGAGTACTGAGTACAGGAGCTTCTGTTCCTGTGGAGCTGGGGTATGTCATCCACCCAGCATGGATGTGTTTACCAATCTGGAAGCTTTCTGAATCCCATACTTTGGGATATTAATGGAGCTTTTATCAGGTAAGCATGATCAATCATTAACTCTATTTTCAGCCCTTCTTCCTTCTCAAGAGAAGGGGGACAAGGCTGGAAATTCCAAGCTTCTAATCATGGCTTTCTCTTTTTGGAACCCCTATCTAGGAACCCACCCAGAGTCACCTCATTAGAACAAAAGACACTCCTATCACCCAAGAAATTACAAGGGTTTCAGGAGCCCTGTGCCAGGAACTGGGGTCAAAGATCAAATATTAGAACTAAAGATGCTCCTAATGCTCTTATCAATTAAGAATTTATAAGGGCTTTAGGAGCTCTGTGTCAGGAACCAGGGGCAGAGATCAAGATATGTAATTCTTATTGTCTATTACAATATCACACCTACCCACCTCAAAAAAATGTTCTTTCCATACTGGCTGCATTTGCCAGCCACGTAGGGACAAATGGTGTTACAATGATTACTCCATTTTAGTTATTATGTTCTCTGTTGTGTAGCTTCTAAAATACTAAAAATGAATGTGTCAATGTTTACATCGACCTAAACAACATGATACT